ATGACGATACTAATGATGCTTCGAGCAGCATCAGCAGAGACCTTGCGACAGCTGACCCCTCTCCCCCCGCAGGGTCGAGTCCTTCAGGGAGTGGTCCTCCTCGCCCTGGTCGCGTCGAGCCTCGCCACCTACGGCAGCAGGATACGGGGAGGAACCTCAGGAGGCGCGCCCGGAGGTTTCTCGGTGGGCGGCGGCGCCAGCAGAGCCTACGCCGGGAGCAGGAGCTTGAGCCTCTCCGGCGCAGCGAGCCACAGCGTGCCCTCCGCCGGCTCTCCCAGTGCCATTTCCTTTGTTCAGTTCGGCTCCGCCAAAGCCGGCAGCGGAGGCGGAAGCCCTCGCGGCGGCAGCGCCTTCGTCGGTTCCTTCGGCGTCGGAGGGAGCGCTGGCGTCCTCAGACCCTCCCCCGGTGGGGGCGGTGGTGGATATGGCTCCTCCCTGGCCGGGGGAGGCCTGGGAGGACCCGTAGGTAGAGCAGGTGGAAACAGCGGTGGATATGGCGGTTCTTCCACTGGAGCAAGTGGAGGCAGCAGTGGCGGATTCAGTGGAGCAGATGGAAGCAGCGGTGGATATGGCGGTTCTTCCACTGGATCAAGTGGAGGCAGCAGTGGCGGATTCAGTGGAGCAGGTGGAAGCAGCGGTGGATATGGCAGTTCTTCCACTGGATCAAGTGGAGCCAGCAGTGGTGGATTCAGTGGAGCAGGTGGAAGTAGCGGTGGATATGGCAGTTCTTCCACTGGATCAGGTGGAGGCAGCAGTGGCGGATTCAGTGGAGCAGGTGGAAGCAGCGGTGGATATGGCAGTTCTTCCACTGGATCAAGTAGAGGCAGCAGTGGTGGATTCGGTGGATCAGGTGGAAGCAGTGGTGGGTATGGCGGTTCTTCCACTGGATCAAGTGGAGGCAGCAGTGGTGGATTCGGTGGAGCAGGTGGAAGCAGTGGTGGATATGGCGGTTCTTCCAGTGGATCAGGTGGAGGCAGCAGTGGTGGATTCGGTGGAGCAGGTGGAAGCAGTGGTGGATATGGCGGTTCTTCCAGTGGATCAGGTGGAGGCAGCAGTGGTGGATTCGGTGGATCAGGTGGAAGCAACAGTGGTGGATTCGGTGGAGCAGGTGGAAGCAGCGGTGGATATGGCGGTTCTTCCACTGGATCAGGTGGAGGCAGCAGTGGTGGATTAGGTGGATCCTTAGGTGGAGTAGGTGGAGGCAGTGGTGGATATGGCGGTTCTTCCACTGGATCAGGTGGAGGCAGCAGTGGTGGATTAGGTGGATCCTTAGGTGGAGCAGGTGGAAGCAGTGGTGGATATGGCGGTTCTTCCACTGGATCAAGTGGAGGCAGCAGTGGTGGATTCGGTGGATCAGGTGGAGGCAGCAGTGGTGGATTCGGTGGATCCTTAGGTGGAGCAGGTGGAAGCAGCGGTGGATACGGCGGTTCTTCCACTGGATCAAGTGGAAGCAGCAGTGGTGGATTCGGTGGATCAGGTGGAGGCAGCAGTGGTGGATTCGGTGGATCAGGTGGAGGCAGCAGTGGTGGATTCGGTGGATCCTTAGGTGGAGGAGGTGGAAGCAGCGGTGGATATGGCGGTTCTTCCACTGGATCAAGTGGAGGCAGCAGTGGTGGATTCGGTGGAGCAGGTGGAAGCAGTGGTGGACATGGCGGTTCTTCCACTGGATCAGGTGGAGGCAGCAGTGGTGGATTCGGTGGATCAGGTGGAAGCAGTGGTGGATATGGAGGTTCTTCCACTGGATCAGGTGGAGGCAGCAGTGGTGGATTCGGTGGATCAGGTGGAAGCAGTGGTGGATATGGCGGTTCTTCCACTGGATCAAGTGGAAGCAGCAGTGGTGGATTCGGTGGATCAGGTGGAGGCAGCAGTGGTGGATTCGGTGGATCAGGTGGAAGCAGTGGTGGATATGGCGGTTCTTCCACTGGATCAGGTGGAGGCAGCAGTGGTGGATTCGGTGGAGCAGGTGGAAGCAGTGGTGGATATGGCGGTTCTTCCACTGGATCAGGTGGAGGCAGCAGTGGTGGATTCGGTGGATCAGGTGGAGGCAGCAGTGGTGGAGCAAGTGGAGTAGGTGGAAGCAGCGGTGGATATGGCGGTTCTTCCACTGGATCAGGCAGCAGTGGTGGATTGGGTGGATCAGGTGGAAGCAGTGGTGGATATGGCGGTTCTTCCACTGGTTCAAGTGGAGGCAGCAGTGGTGGATTCGGTGGATCAGGTGGAAGCAGTGGTGGATATGGCGGTTCTTCCACTGGATCAAGTGGAGGCAGCAGTGGTGGATTGGGTGGATCAGGTGGAAGCAGTGGTGGATATGGTGGTTCTTCCACTGGTTCAAGTGGAGGCAGCAGTGATGGATTCGGTGGAGCAGGTGGAAGCAGTGGTGGATATGGCGGTTCTTCCACTGGATCAGGTGGAGGCAGCAGTGGTGGATTCGGTGGATTAGGTGGAAGCAGTGGTGGATATGGCAGTTCTTCGACTGGATCAAGTGGAGGCAGCAGTGGTGGATTCGGTGGATCAGGTGGAAGCAGTGGTGGATATGGCGGTTCTTCCACTGGATCAGGTGGAGGCAGCAGTGGTGGATTCGGTGGAGCAGGTGGAAGCAGTGGTGGATATGGCGGTTCTTCCACTGGATCAGGTGGAGGCAGCAGTGGTGGATTCGGTGGAGCAGGTGGAAGCAGCGGTGGATATGGCAGTTCTTCCACTGGATCAAGTGGAGGCAGCAGTGGTGGATTCGGTGGATCAGGTGGAAGCAGTGGTGGATATGGTGGTTCTTCCACTGGATCAAGTGGAGGCAGCAGTGGTGGATTCGGTGGATCAGGTGGAAGCAGTGGTGGATATGGCAGTTCTTCCACTGGATCAAGTGGAGGCAGCAGTGGTGGATTCGGTGGATCAGGTGGAAGCAGCGGTGGATATGGCAGTTCTTCCACTGGATCAAGTGGAGGCAGCAGTGGTGGATTCGGTGGAGCAGGTGGAAGCAGTGGTGGATATGGAGGTTCTTCCACTGGATCAGGTGGAGGCAGCAGTGGTGGATTCGGTGGCAGTGGTGGATATGGCGGTTCTTCCACTGGATCAAGTGGAGGCAGCAGTGGTGGATTCGGTGGAGCAGGTGGAAGCAGTGGTGGATATGGTGGTTCTTCCACTGGATCAAGTGGAGGCAGCAGTGGTGGATTCGGTGGATCAGGTGGAAGCAGTGGTGGATATGGCGGTTCTTCCACTGGGTCAAGTGGAGGCAGCAGTGGTGGATTCGGTGGATCAGGTGGAAGCAGTGGTGGATATGGCGGTTCTTCCACTGGGTCAAGTGGAGCAGCAGTGGTGGATTCGGTGGATCAGGTGGAAGCAGTGGTGGATATGGCGGTGCTTCCACTGGGTCAAGTGGAAGCAGCAGTGGTGGATTGGGTGGATCAGGTGGAAGCAGTGGTGGATATGGTGGTTCTTCCACTGGATCAAGTGGAGGCAGCAGTGGTGGATTGGGTGGATCAGGTGGAAGCAGTGGTGGATATGGTGGTTCTTCCACTGGATCAAGTGGAGGCAGCAGTGGTGGATTCGGTGGAGCAGGTGGAAGTGGTGGAGGCGTTGATATGTATGGTGGATCAGGTGGATCAGGTGGAAGCAGCAGTGGTGGATTAGGTGGAGCAAGTGGAATGGAGCCGGTGGATATGGTGGTTCTTCCACTGGATCAAGTGAGGCAGCAGTGTGGATTCGGTGGATCAGGTGGAAGCAGTGGTGGATATGGTGGTTCTTCCACTGGATCAAGTGGAGGCAGCAGTGGTGGATTCGGTGGATCAGGTGGAAGCAGTGGTGGATATGGTGGTTCTTCACTGGATCAAGTGGAGGCAGCAGTGGTGGATTTGGTGGATCAGGTGGAAGCTAGTGGGTGGATATGGATGGTTCTTCCAGTGGATCAAGGTGGAAGCAGCAGTGGTGGATTAGGTGGAGCAGGTGGAAGCAGCGGTGGATATGGTGGTTCTTCCACTGGATCAAGTGGAGGCAGCAGTGTTGGATTCGGTGGATCAGGTGGAAGCAGTGGTGGATATGGTGGTTCTTCCACTGGGTCAAATGGAAGCAGCAGTGTTGGATTCGGTGGATCAGGTGGAAGCAGTGGTGGATATGGCGGTTCTTCTACTGGATCAAGTGGAGGCAGCAGTGGTGGATTCGGTGGATCAGGTGGAAGCAGTGGTGGATATGGCAGTTCTTCCACTGGATCAAGTGGAGGCAGCAGTGGTGGATTCGGTGGAGCAGGTGGAAGTGGTGGAGGCGTTGATATGTATGGTGGATCAGGTGGATCAGGTGGAAGCAGCAGTGGTGGATTAGGTGGAGCAGGTGGAAGCAGCGGTGGATATGGTGGTTCTTCCACTGGATCAAGTGGAGGCAGCAGTGTTGGATTCGGTGGAGCAGGTGGAAGTGGTGGAGGCGTTGATATGTATGGTGGATCAGGTGGATCAGGTGGAAGCAGTGGTGGATATGGTGGTTCTTCCATTGGATCAAGTGGAGGCAGCAGTGGTGGATCCGGTGGATCGTTAGGTGGATTAGGTGGAAGCAGTGGTGGATATGGCGGTTCTTCCACTGGATCAGGTGGAGGCAGCAGTGGTGGATTGGGTGGAGCAGGTGGAAGCAGTGGTGGATATGGAGGTTCTTCCACCGGATCAAGTGGAGGCAGCAGTGGTGGATTCAGTGGAGCAGGTGGAAGCAGTGGTGGATATGGCGGTTCTTCCACTGGATCAGGTGGAGGCAGCAGTGGTGGATTAGGTGGATCCTTAGGTGGATCAGGTGGAAGCAGTGGTGGATATGGCGGTTCTTCCACTGGATCAGGTGGAGGCAGCAGTGGTGGATTCGGTGGAGCAGGTGGAAGCAGTGGTGGATATGGCGGTTCTTCTACTGGATCAGGTGGAGGCAGCAGTGGTGGATTCGGTGGAGCAGGTGGAAGCAGTGGTGGATATGGCGGTTCTTCCACCGGATCAAGTGGAGGCAGCAGTGGTGGATTCGGTGGAGCAGGTGGAAGCAGTGGTGGATATGGCGGTTCTTCCACTGGATCAGGTGGAGGCAACAGTGGTGGATTCGGTGGATCAGGTGGAAGCAGTGGTGGATATGGCGGTTCTTCCGCTGGATCAGGTGGAGGCAGCAGTGGTGGATTCGGTGGAGCAGGTGGAAGCAGTGGTGGATATGGCAGTTCTTCCACTGGATCAAGTGGAGGCAGCAGTGGTGGATTCGGTGGATCAGATGGAAGCAGTGGTGGATATGGCGGTTCTTCCACTGGATCAGGTGGAGGCAGCAGTGGTGGATTCGGTGGAGCAGGTGGAAGCAGTGGTGGATATGGCGGTTCTTCCACTGGATCAGGTGGAGGCAGCAGTGGTGGATTCGGTGGATCAGATGGAAGCAGTGGTGGATATGGCGGTTCTTCCACTGGATCAAGTGGAGGCAGCAGTGGTGGATTGGGTGGAGCAGGTGGAAGCAGTGGTGGATATGGCGGTTCTTCCACTGGATCAGGTGGAGGCAGCAGTGGTGGATCCGGTGGATCCTTAGGTGGATCAGGTGGAAGCAGTGGTGGAGCAAGCGGAGTAGGTGGAAGCAGCGGTGGATATGGCGGTTCTTCCACTGGATCAAGTGGAGGCAGCAGTGGTGGATTCGGTGGATCAGATGGAAGCAGTGGTGGATATGGCGGTTCTTCCACTGGATCAAGTGGAGGCAGCAGTGGTGGATTCGGTGGATCAGATGGAAGCAGTGGTGGATATGGCGGTTCTTCCACTGGATCAGGTGGAGGCAGCAGTGGTGGATTCGGTGGATCAGGTGGAAGCAGTGGTGGATATGGCGGTTCTTCCACTGGATCAGGTGGAGACAGCAGTGGTGGATCCGGTGGATCCTTAGGTGGATCAGGTGGAAGCAGTGGTGGATATGGCGGTTCTTCCACTGGATCAAGTGGAGGCAGCAGTGGTGGATTCGGTGGAGCAGGTGGAAGTGGTGGAGGCGTTGATATGTATGGTGGATCTGGTGGATCAGGTGGAAGCAGTGGTGGATATGGCGGTTCTTCCACTGGATCAAGTGGAGGCAGCAGTGGTGGATTCGGTGGATCAGGTGGAAGCAGTGGTGGATATGGCGGTTCTTCCACTGGATCAAGTGGAGGAAGCAGTGGTGGATTCGGTGGAACAGGTGGAAGTGGTGGAGGCGTTGATATGTATGGTGGATCTGGTGGATCAGGTGGTAGCAGTGGTGGATATGGCGGTTCTTCCACTGGATCAAGTGGAGGCAGCAGTGGTGGATTCGGTGGATCAGGTGGAAGCAGTGGTGGATATGGCGGTTCCTCCACTGGATCAAGTGGAAGCAGCAGTGGTGGATTCGGTGGAGCAGGTGGAAGCAGTGGTGGATATGGCGGTTCTTCCACTGGATCAAGTGGAGGCAGCAGTGGTGGATTCGGTGGAGCAGGTGGAAGTGGTGGAGGCGTTGATATGTATGGTGGATCTGGTGGATCAGGTGGAAGCAGTGGTGGATATGGCGGTTCTTCCACTGGATCAAGTGGAGGCAGCAGTGGTGGATTCGGTGGATCAGGTGGAAGCAGTGGTGGATATGGAGGTTCTTCCACTGGATCAAGTGGAAGCAGCAGTGGTGGATTAGGTGGAGCAGGTGGAAGCAGTGGTGGATATGGCGGTTCTTCCACTGGATCAAGTGGAGGCAGCAGTGGTGGATTCGGTGGATCAGGTGGAAGCAGTGGTGGATATGGCGGTTCTTCCACTGGATCAAGTGGAGGCAGCAGTGGTGGATTCGGTGGAGCAGGTGGAAGTGGTGGAGGCGTTGATATGTATGGTGGATCTGGTGGATCAGGTGGAAGCAGTGGTGGATATGGCGGTTCTTCCACTGGATCAAGTGGAGGCAGCAGTGGTGGATTCGGTGGAGCAGGTGGAAGCAGTGGTGGATATGGCGGTTCTTCCACTGGATCAAGTGGAGGCAGCAGTGGTGGATTCGGTGGATCAGGTGGAAGCAGTGGTGGATATGGCGGTTCTTCCACTGGATCAAGTGGAAGCAGCAGTGGTGGATTAGGTGGAGCAGGTGGAAGCAGTGGTGGATATGGCGGTTCTTCCACTGGATCAAGTGGAGGCAGCAGTGGTGGATTCGGTGGAGCAGGTGGAAGCAGTGGTGGATATGGCGGTTCTTCCACTGGATCAAGTGGAGGCAGCAGTGGTGGATTCGGTGGAGCAGGTGGAAGTGGTGGAGGCGTTGATATGTATGGTGGATCAAGTGGAGGCAGCAGTGGTGGATTGGGTGGATCAGGTGGAGGCAGCAGTGGTGGATTGGGTGGATCAGGTGGAAGCAGTGGTGGATATGGCGGTTCTTCCACTGGATCAGGTGCAGCAGTGGTGGATTAGGTGGATCCTTAGGTGGATCAGGTGGAAGCAGTGGTGGATATGGAGGTTCTTCCACTGGATCAAGTGGAGGCAGCAGTGGTGGATTCGGTGGAGCAGGTGGAAGTGGTGGAGGCGTTGATATGTATGGTGGATCAAGTGGAGGCAGCAGTGGTGGATTCGGTGGATCAGATGGAAGCAGTGGTGGGTATGGCGGTTCTTCCACTGGATCAGGTGGAGGCAGCAGTGGTGGATTCGGTGGAGCAGGTGGAAGCAGTGGTGGATATGGTGGTTCTTCCACTGGATCAAGTGGAGGCAGCAGTGGTGGATTCGGTGGAGCAGGTGGAAGCAGTGGTGGATATGGTGGTTCTTCCACTGGATCAAGTGGAGGCAGCAGTGGTGGATTCGGTGGAGCAGGTGGAAGCAGTGGTGGATATGGTGGTTCTTCCACTGGATCAGGTGGAGGCAGCAGTGGTGGATTCGGTGGAGCAGGTGGAAGCAGTGGTGGATATGGCGGTTCTTCCACTGGATCAAGTGGAGGCAGCAGTGGTGGATTGGGTGGAGCAGGTGGAAGCAGTGGTGGATATGGCGGTTCTTCCACTGGATCAGGTGGAGGCAGCAGTGGTGGATTCGGTGGAGTAGGTGGAAGTGGTGGAGGCGTTGATATGTATGGTGGATCAGGTGGAGGCAGCAGTGGTGGATTCGGTGGAGAAGGTGGAAGTGGTGGAGGCGTTGATATGTACAGTGGATCAAGTGGAGGCAGCAGTGGTGGATTCGGTGGAGGAGGTGGAAGCAGTGATGGTTATGGTAGTGGAGGCGTTGATATGTATGGTGGATCAGGTGAAGAAAGTAGTGGTGCATTTGTCGGATTCGTAGGTGGAGCAGGTGGAAGCAGTGGTGGGTATGGTCGGTCTTCCGGAGGCAGTGGAAGTGGCGCCTCTCCGGGCAGGGTCGGGACTGGCGGGGCCTCGAGCGAAGAGGATGCTCCGGGCGGGGTCGGGACAGGCGGGGCCAGGGCGGGCCTGGCGTCGGCCGGGGCCTCGAGCGAAGAGGACGCTCCGGGTTCTGCGTCCAGCGAGGAGTGCTAGGCCCGCGGCTGGAGCAGGGCGCCAGGCCTTTTGTGGACGAAACAAATAACAAATGGCTGTAACCTTAATACTTGTTATTGTAATTTATGAGCGTATCATATATGCCAATATATATTGTTGATATCACAAAACAAATAAAATATTTCATTTTATTACAAATAAAGAAAAAGGCTTTTAATTTCCTCTTCACACACGCTTGTTGCACGGACGACTGTATACGTATATCTATGTATGCATATTTATCTATCCATCTATTTATCTGCCTTTTTATCTATCAGTCGGTATGTCTATATATATATATTTGTGTGTGTGTTTGTAGATATACATATATATACATATATACATACATACATACATACATATATATATATATATATATATATATATATATATATATATATATATATATATACATCATATTAATACATATATACACATACACACATAGTGTGCGCGTGTGTGTGTGTGTGTGTGTGTATGGGTGTCTATGTATTTTTTTCGCCCTGCCTCTTTGATGAGTATGGAAAAAGTATCATTGTTAGTGAAACCAGAGTTGGAGACAGGTGTAACTTGAAAACAGCTGATCACGGAAAGGACCACTTCGACCCATCGATTTCGTAGTGAAAACTGCATATTTTGCTTCTGCTCCGGTGGACCGTGACGGATCGCGTGTGGAATGAGCCATTTTGCTCCTCGCGCTTTCTCCACTCACGTCTTCGTCGCATTCTGTGTTTTATGACTTCGTCTCATGCCTGGATCACTTAGATCCCTCCTCTTTTATATATTGCTAGGTATGAAGCATGCACACGCATTGTTCACGCACGCAATGTCTATGTTTATTTGTAGCTCCATAAAGGAGACCCACCTTGTGGTCAACAACGCCATCCGATTGCAGTCCCATTTGTGCTGTTAAACGACCCTTTTAAGTCCAATGTTACAGTTCGCTCTAGCACTCTAGGCCAAGTTCTTACCAGCTTTAGATATATGTATTTATACGTTATTCCCTACATAACTCGTGACAAACGAGTTCTAGCGAGCTCAGATAGCGGATTTTTAATTTGTTTAAATGTATGATCTTGATCTGGCAATATTGGTTACTGTGTTACAATCTAATTATTTTCACAGATACTTCCTGTTAAACTGCCAGGATAATTATATTCTTATAGTTTAACATGTCTAAGCGAATCGTGTTAAAAATGCATGCAAGCAAAGTTGGAGAGTGTAACAATACATTCTCAGCGCTCGGCAGTGTGTGTTGGCGATGTACAACACAGAGCTAAGGCAGAGGAATCGGGGGCCACGATGATCATCACATGTTGCACGGACGACTGTATAGTCACTGTCTTTAGCGTTTCCAAACTTTCCCTTTTAATGGCGTCAGTATAAGTTGTATATTGCGAGTATCACATGCATTACTGTATTTCTTCGTGAAAGGGTTTTCCCACTTTGAAACGGCCGAGTTTATTTTCGGGTGACAATTTTCAGGGGGTTCGCGATTTACTCCAGATATTACTAATCATTTATATTTTTTGTCATATTTGATTAGTGCATTTATATATTATGATAAAATACGCAAACTTTGAGTTTCAATAATGTTATTAATTTAAGGTATGTAAGTGACCTGGCTGCTTGGTAGTGTTTGCTGGTGGTTGTTATATTTATAGCTTATAGAGGTAATTCGAAGCTTAATGTTTCTCAATAGATTATTTTTCTTATATATACCTCGAAGTAATTTCTATTTTTTTCCTGTTATCTTTGCTAGAGACAAATTCTCGGACGAGGTGAGAGGGAGAAAGTGCTCTGCAATCTGGTATGAAGATATTAGTTGGTAAATGTGAAGACATTGAATAAACCTATAAAATCCATAAAATGATGGCCAGTGCTAGTGTATCCATTAATGGGTCTCTGATGTGCATTGACCGGTTGCTGGGGTTTGCTCCCAACTGGGCACGAAGAATTTATCAGTTATTTTTACCACTTTAGGGCTGCCTGCGAGCCTACTGGGAGCGGCATCCAAGAAAGTTCTCAGACAATTTTGAGACGATTCGGAAACTAAAATTTGAGACTGTCTCAAAAGTGTCTTAGGACGGCGCGCTGCCACATATAGATAATCAAATATCAACAAATATATAGACTAAATTATTACTTTTATAAATAGCGTATGTATGGTTTGATAACCTATTTTACTAATGCAGTCATGGATACGTTCATTTTAAATAAAGCCTGACATATATCAAATAACATAAGCGACCACATGTCAACAATGCTCTTTATTGACGCTCCTGAATTTATTACAGGTTCAAAAATACCTTCAAATGTATGTAGACGTGTTTTTACTAATCTAATGCTAGCGTTATAAATACATATTTACAGGAAACAAACATGATTAACGAAAGTGAAATAACCTTTGCTAAAGCGCCAGGCCGTAACATTGGCTTCTGTTAACAAAAGGCCAAAGTACTGAAATAAACCTGAAAATTAATGGGAAAGCCCTCCGCCGAAGCGTAGAGGACCTAGCGGACCTATTCTAAAGTTTCCATTAGTTAGGTAGGCATAAAACAGACGAGTCATCTCTCTCTCTCTCTGTGTTTGTGTATATATATATATACATATATATATATATATATATATATAAATTAACACTGTCTCACACTATTCTCAACTGAAAAGATTTGTCTCAGTTCTAAGAGTCCTGAGAGTAGACAGTTTTCCAGATTAGAGGCCTATATATGTGTAAGCGCATACCTATTTATGCATATATGTGTAAATACATACATACATATAAATATATATATAAATACATATATGTATATATATACACATATATATATGTATATATATAAACATTTATATTAAAAATATATATATTATATGTATGTATATATATGTATATATATGTATATATGTTACAGGCAATATGTGAAACCAGTCATTACAAGTAATGCCTAACATTGTTAGGCATTACGTGTAATGGCTGTGACCACCAGTCATTTCATGTAATGACTCAAAAATCCAGTCATTCCGTGTAATGGCTGTGACCACCAGTCATGGGACCAGTTATTTCATGAAAGGACTGAACTGATAATGCAAAGATATCAATTACTATTCACACTTCATATCAACTCATAAAAACGTTAATACACGCATTTGCAAGTATTCACACTTTGTAATTTGTTTGTGCAAGTCATGGTGCAATTGAAACTACTATTCACACATTCCTTCACGTCATGAAATACAATTAGGTACCATACAAGTTATCCTTCATTTGTGCATATGATATGTGAATACTGTTCACACAGTTTTAAAGCACTTGCATCCGACACTTTTTGGGTCCTATGCTGTTGCATTTGACAAAACCCTGTCCTCCACAGTTCGATTCAAAGGTAACAGCTTCTCACAGAGATACCACCCTGTCGCGATTGATGGAGTCCTCTCCCAGAAGGCGCTGAGGGCATAAGTCAAACTGGTTGTATTACATCTTGGCCTTCAGAACTCCTGCATTAACTCCAATGGTGTACATGTCATTTTGGTCACGTTCCAAGACGACACCGAGAATGTTCTTAGGATCACCTCGCCCCTTATCTACCAGTGGAATAGGGACAGCAGCATTATCAAGTGGTTCGACGGCTGCAAGGTCAATTCGACTCCGTTTGACCATGCGTTCAGCCTGGGCAAGTTGTCTCGTTCGGGCACCTTTTCTCTGGGCAATGATATTTTCTTTACGGCTCAAATCGTTTTCGGGCGATGCACATTCCATATCAAAGTGAACTTCGGCTAATTCAGCACTGGGAACAGGACCTAGTTCCTCTCCGTTTTGACCGGTGGTGAGTACAGCTAACAGACCATCCTCACACTGCATCCTTTGAATTACCTCGTCAGACAGCAAGGACGATGTCAGGCCCACTTTGGCCTCACATCCATACATGGCTGCATAGGGTGATCTGCGAATACCTGCATGCAAGCTGGAATTCTTCTGGAACTGGACAAACTTGATTCCAATGCTCCAATCCGTGGTGTTGTTGTCTCCCATCCATGCAACCACGGATGTATATATATATATGTATATATATATATATATGTATAT